TCTATCTATCTATCTATCTATCTATCTATCCCCATGTCTCAATTTCTGTATGCTGCTTGTATCGGCCCAGGTTGAATGCATCATTCAAACCATCCTGGAGAGACACAGGGTCAGGCAGCCTGGCAAGTACACAGGACCGCAAGGCAGACTGATGGGACAAGCTGCTTCTCTTTCCCCTGGGAGACTCACATAACTTGTCAAAATTGTGCACACAGTACTGTGCCTGAAAAGGATGTGTCATCACCTCCATTTAACAGTGGTATCAGCAGAGCAAATGGGATGAAGCATGCACTGAAGGCATTTGAAGGAACAATTTTTCAGCTGCTTTTCTCTATGCCAGATGATTCCGTTGTCCAGTGCATCTCTCCTGGTGATGCTGTAAACATGGAGTCACACAGAAGAAAAAGATCTTTCTTTTCATCCCTGTTGGAGAAATAAAAACTGGGGTAAGTGTAAAGATGACCCTGAATCAAAACCAGTCCTTGATTGGAAATCAGACTCAGCATGCTAGTTCAAATATGGATTTTTCCCACAGATCCCCTACAATACACCCCAGGCTACCAGGAGGAAAGATTCCAGGTCTAGATTGCAGTTTAACAACTCAGACCATCACAAACAGTGATCAGTTTTCACTCAAAAACATGTGCATGTGGGCTGCCCTATTGCTCAGATTAGTTTTGAAAACAGCTTTCTCAACAGTTGCTGGGGGCATAAATATACACTATGTACCAACAAGCCATGGGGCAAACACTAATCTGATGTATTTCGCTGACGGGTGTATTTGGGTTGCCTTACTTAGCAACACAGAAAAGTCATGGCAAGTAAAGAAGTGAATGGGCTCTTTTAGTGCTGTTGATGAGAAGAGAGTAAGGATGTATCTTGGAAGGGGCATCAAGAGGTCGACCTGCCTGCAGGGAAGCACTGGAGGGAAAAATTACTCTAGGTGAAACTAAGAACATTTCTGGACTAAAAAATTCCTCAGCCTTTAATTAAAAGAAGGAAAACTCACTGCTCACATTGCAAAGGCACCTAGTGTCTTTTGTGCATGGATCCTGAAGGTTTATTTTATTATACAAAGAGTCATGCAGCTGGGTGCCAAAGGTGCAGCAGAGTTGGGATTTATTGCTCCTTTTGTGTACCTGAAGCACACTAAAATTGGGAAGGCAAGGGGGACAAATAAATCTTATTGAATAGATGCCATTTGCATTCCCAGTTTTCTTTCCTTCCTACAGAGCCAATACTTTTTAATCATCTTGTGTCAGTACAATGTCAAGTTCTGTAATAACAGCGTGAGATGAACCTGCTTATCTTTGACAGCACAAAGTATTCCTGCCAGGGTTTTGCCCAAAGCAAGTGCTTCTCCACATCTCTGCAGACTGGCCATTTCCTCATTTCTGCCACACCAAAAAGATAAACTGCTTTGTACGCAATAATGGTCTTAATGCTCTTGCTTTCATATAGCTGCTCTTATTCCTCAGGAAGAATCTCAGTGTGCTTTACAAACGTTGCCAACAGATTTACAAACTATATATAGAAATCATTTCACTCGCTACTGATGTACAGACACAGGGTGACCACAGCAGCTGTTTGGAATTACATCGTGATATTGCTCAACAGGTTCAGACAGGAAGTAGAAGCTGCTGTATTGCAAAGAAAGTAGTAGAGGAACTGCTCTGTGCACAAAAAACGTGAGTTTTGGAAGTGCAATTGCAATGGGATTCTCTTCTGGCATCTGCAGTTAGCCTATTCTTTCAAAAAAAAAGTATATGCCAATGTAACCACTATATTATTTGCAGTGGTATTTGCAAATACACTGTAATTTGCATGTGCAGGTCAGGCAATTATTAAACTATAAGTGACTATAAAAAGCACATGGATTTCATCCTTTGTTAATGTCTTAGTCCCAGACAGTTCTCCCATGTAGCTTAGCCAAACCTATGGTTTGTCACTCAGATTAAAAAATCACTCTGTTCGTTTATACACAGAGAGCAAGACAGTTACTTACTTCCATATTTAACATTTCCTTGTGTATGTGTTTATGAAGATTTTCTTTTAAAAGGAGATGCCAGTAATAGAAACAAGTGATGTACTTCATATGGAATTAAATACAAGCAGCAGCACTAACCAGGTAAATTCTCTACTTTACTGTCTTTAATTATGTCTTTTTTTTTTTTTTATTAGTCCATATTAATGACAGTGGGAGTTCTGGGCACTATATCTACCATATACAGAATATGTGGGCAAAAGGCAATGGGTTTGCCCAATCAAATGTAAAGATTTCTACAACAAATTTAAATTTTTAAAATTAAATGTAAACACACTGTACATGTCACCAGAGCTATACTGTTATAGCAGTCCTATGATTACTAAACATTCATTAATATATTTTTATAGCTTTTCAGAACCACAAAACACGAGTTCCTTGAGGAATATTTCTCCTGATCCAAGTACCTCTTTTGCTGGTGTGAGTGACACTTAAGGGACAGAAAATTATTCCCATTGCAATATATATCTTTAAATATTTATACAGTAATTTTGTGCATTTTCCCATGTACTTCTTTCAGATGCAGCTTTTGTCCTGGTAATGAGTAGGGTTAGATTTCTTTGAAGTTGCTCCATGCATTTGGAAACGGTGCATTTTTGAGCTAAGATCTTTATCCATAGGGCACAGAAGTGGATGCTGAAGGACAGACATCTTGAGTGGCAAGGTGCCATTTTTAATTATTGCAGCCTAAACAAACAACTTCCAGTAGAAAGAACAGGGGGAAAAAAGCATAATAGGACCATTAAGGCTTAAAATCTGAATCTTTGTCTGAAATTAATTTTCTTGATACAATTTTCCTGAGGAGAGGTCCTAAGGCTCACATGAAATAAAAAAGTAGGGGGAAGGCTTTAAAAGGACTGATTTAGCAGGAGATGATAGCAGTGGAAGAGTATACCAGACAGGCAAAGCTGGTTCCACAGAAGACACAGGTGAGGGTAAGAAGCTGTTGATTAGATGCATATTAAATTACAGAACCATAGACTTGTTAAGGTTGGAAAAGACCTTTAAGATCATCAAGTCCAACCATCAACCCAGCACCACTATCATGTTCACCATTAAACCATGTCCTCATGTGCCATATCTACATGTTTTTTGAACACTTCCAGGGATAGTAACACCACCAACTTCCCTGGGCAGCCTGTTCCAAAGCTTTACAATGCCTTCTATGAAAAATTTTTTCATCATACCCAATCTAAAGCTCCTCCAGCACAACTTGAGGCCATTTCCTCTTGTCCTGTCACTTGTTACCTGCGAGAAGAGGCCAACCCCCACTTTGCTACAACCTCCTTCTAGGCAGCTGTAGAGAGCATTAAGGCCTCCCTTGAGCCTCCTTTTGTCCAGGCTAAACAACCCCAGCTCCCTCAGCTGCTCCTCATAAGACTTGTGCTCTAGCCCCTGGGAGTGAAAGGAAAGTAAGAGATAAGACTTATCTACAAGAGAAAAATGATCATGAATTTATGTCACTTTTCTCCTTGCAAATCATAGCCAAACAGCTGGATATTTTAGAAGGCTATTTTTTCTGTCCCAAGTAAGGGTCAGAAAAAATCCCTTTGCTCTACCTCACAGCAGACACAAAAGAGCTTGTGACTTTGTGACTGTTCTTTCATGTGTGACTCTTGTACTAATGGCAATAGTCTGAGAAAGTGCAGCTCAGGCACTAAGAGCCTGTGCCAGAACACAGACTGCTGTAGCTAAACAGTAAAATTGCTGCCCACCCCTTCACCATACTCCCACCACCTTGATACCCAGAACAGGCTCTGCCATGCCAGCTGCCAAAATTTGATGGTTAGCCAGTGCATGGAGTTTTAGGGATAACCTGCAAGACATTATGGCCCGTAGGGCCAGTGAACAGCTGGTCATATACAGGACTCATGGCTATGGTTTGGTTCTTCCTTCACTGAGCTATGAAAACACTGACAGCTACAAAGTCCATCCCATGGGAGCTGCAAAGGCTGATGTAACCACTGTTGAATGCCTGGCTTCTTGGAGAGCTCATCTGTCTCCTGCAGCTGCTTGTGTCAGATTTTATGAGAAACAGAGAACAAATGATACCTCTGATTTCAAACATTGTCCTCAAATCCATAGGAGTCCCTGCCCCTGAGCACGCCTGAATCGGTGCCAGAGCATTTAATTACTTCTAGACAACATCACCGGGGGGGGGGGGGGGGCATGCCATGGAATTGGGTTGCCGTGGAACACCCTGTGAGACACACCCAAATAGCAGAGAAAATTAAATTCCAGTGTTGCAAGGGTTCAATCACAGTCTAAGCGGGGTAAATAAAAAGTAGTTTTTTCCTACAAATTTATTCTTCCAGCTGGGGCTGATGCCTTTGCCTCTTTTTGCACAATCACCAGTTCTGGTCCAGTTACATTTCTTGCTCCTACCACCACATACTCAAGTACATAAAAGTACTATTCAGTGGTCTGGCTGCAAAATATGGGAGTCAAAAGACCTGTGTTCAATTCCTAGCTGTACCATAAACACGACCTGGGGAAAACAGCTCCCTTTCCATGACTTTCTCACCTCATATTTCACTTAAAATAAAGTCTTGCTTCTCCTACCTCCATTCACAGATGCCTTGATAACATGTGAGTTCACAGATGCCTCGAAAACACGAAAGACACTGTCTCATAATTCTGTAATTCCTTTAGCATCTGGGGTGAGGGGAGGGAGGGATGGGGGAAGTTTTCAACTTAAAATTAAGCTTCAACTTAACTTCAATATCTGTGTCGTCTGAAAATATGTAAACTCCTGGGGTTAAAGAGACTCCAGAAACTCATCCATGAAGAAATTTCCACTTCCACCAGTTCTCAAGAACTTAATCCTATATAAAAAATATGATCTGTATGGAGAAGGGATGTATTTAGAATAGTTTTCAACTTTGAATGACAGAGCTTCAACTGTGAATGACAGAGAAACTCTAAACCAGGATTAGGCCACCTTCTATAACAGGCTACTAAACAACAAAAAGGGCCCAGATGTATTGATAAAAAGATAAACACAACAATACCACGTCTTTTTACCTTACCTAATGATATTCAAAAGACTAGTTCATGGTATTTTAAACACTTAGGGTAATGTTCAGTCCTAGATCTGAATGCTTTGATGCTGCAGGCAATGTAACTAGGGCCTGAGGTGTGTATAAAGTCCTAAATATAAACCTTTGCCTGTGGACTAAAATTACTAGTGGAATTTGGCTCTAGTCACAGAAAGGGTTTAAAATCTCCTGTCTAAAGCCCTATTTGATCATGTTTCCTTTGCTGGTTGCAGTACACTATATCAAATAGGCAATTACCCAGACTCTTGCATTGTGGTCACTGTATTCATTAAAATTACCACAATTGTCATTAAGCCCATATTTCTGTTTAGAAATTCCCACACAGAAATATCAGTTTATAGGTTATGAAGCACACACAAATTTAGCCTGGTATGTCCAGGATGTATTGGTCAGTGGATCCTTGACTTGGAGTCAGCCGTGTTGGGTCCACTGGGCTCTCTATGCTCAGGCTATCCCTGCAGTCACCAGTCACCTGGGGCATCCTCCTGTCAGAGGCTGGGCCCACACACCAGATACCTAAAAGTTTTTCACAAATGACCAAGTTATTCTTTTTCATCCTCATCAAAATTTCTGGCAAAAAACCAGAGGATATGACTTCAAAAGCCAGCTGAATAGTAGCCCTTCTGAGAGCACAAGGAGGAATTAAGATTTCTGTTCTGAATAAAATACCACTCAACTTCAGAATTGTGGTGACACACAATGCCCATATTAATCAAACATCTTCTGTCAGATATCTGCTCAACATTATTGTCTCCCTTTTGGATATATGCACACTGATGAACAATCTCTCCTTTCCCTAGGTGCACCTTTTAAAAGTTGCATGTTGAGGACAGCCACAGCATTTTCTACTTCTGCTGTATCAATAAGGCAGCAGGACCAGACCTTACCATCCTTGGCCCTGCTGAGTATGCTGAACAAATACTTCTGCTACTGATATCAGTCAAAGATTTCATTTAACTTAGCCTTCCTGAACGTCAAAAAAACTTGCACCATACTTGAAATATCAGCAGTGAAGAGTACCAAATTCTTTGGATGTTCCTGTGACACTGACAAAAATAGTTCCTCGGCATGCCAATGAAAAATACTGAAGCAAAAACTAAATACAGAGTACCAGTTTTGAACCTAAATATGTTTTTTAACAGCTGATGTTAAATCAAGTTCTATTTAAAATTATTTTAAAAGTCAAAATCGATGTGTGCAAAGAGAACATTTAGTACATTCCCCAACTTAATTTTTTAAGTGAAGTTTGGTGAAATCTATCTCTGGTGCAACCAATGGTAGACGATTCAAAATTAAAGCACCCAGTAAAAATAGTCAATTATAGTATTAATAACGGCAACTCTAGATTGTCTACTGTGTAAACCAAAGTAAGGAAATTATGCTACACATGGTGATTGCACACCATGTACCACCTTGAACATAAGGGATCTAAAGTATGCCTTATGATAATCCTTGAACAATTAATAGACTTGAGAGATCAAAAGAGCAAAGAGAAGGATGGAAGTGGGAGCAATATTCCTCAATAAAAAAACTTTGTGCCCTATAGCTGTGCAATGACTAGTGTTATGTCAGTTAATAAGGAGTTTGATAAGTACCTCAGTGGCCCTGCTTAACTAAAAAGGCCTCCCATACAACAGTGACATTCATAGACTCATAGAATCATTTAGGTTGGAAAAGACCTTTAAGATCAAGTCCCACCATTAACATAACACTGACAAGTCCACCCCTAAATCATGGCCCTAAATTCCTTACGAGATTCATTTGCACCAGGTGCACATTTGCCATATTGCAGTCCAATTAACTAATTTATGACCAGTGTTAATAGGCAAAGATCGTCTCAATCTAAGGACTGGATGACAGGCACAACCTGGTTCTCAGCTACTACATATTTGGACTGCTAAAACACTTTGGATGAATGTGAGCTGACATAAGCAATTTAAGTTTCCTATAATTAATCATAACATTATTAACAGGAAGTTAGACATTTACCCAATCTGATGTATCTCTGTCCCTTCTTCCTGTGTTTCTAGAAAAAACTTCATTCTTATGCATGAAGGAACATAATCCATGTAATCTATAAAAACACAAACCACTTTTTCTGCTAAATGTTTCAATCAAGGAAAAACAATAGACTAACAGAACTGAAAGAGACAACATATCGAGTAGTAATTTCAAAATCTGTGCAGAAAAATGCCAAAATAATACATTTTAAAGCAATTAGACAAGATAATTTAAACAAAGTTTTAGCAGTGACCTTCAACAGTCATAAAATGATGTCTAGGAATGTTACTTTAAAAGTCATTTTCTTTGACTTGTAATCTTTGTGAACACTTAATTTATGCAAACAGACCTGAACGAAAAAAAAATATTAAAATATTGCTGGAATTTTTGTCACTGTTTTGTTCAATAGAGATATTTCTCTGGAAACATATCTACTCCATTAGTTAGGAAAGAAAGAGAAATTCCAGAATCCTGCCTCATGATTTCTTAAAACTTCCTTGTTAAATCTCTAATAAGCCACTTTGTGTATGGGAAGCAGTCTGGCCTCATTATGCACATTACCCCTTCCTCCATATTCCAAAAGAAGGGCTATGCAGTCTGGATTACCTCCTCCAGCTACTTTAAACAGTACTGATGCATGATCACCTGCTAAGGCCTGGACATCTCCACACTGAAGGAGGATACAGAACCTAAATCCAAAGTGATTTGTAGATCATAAAAGCAAACCCAGAGTACTTTCCTCTTCATTTGCAGATGTATTTAAGTTAAAACTTTACTAAAACAAGAAATATTTCTTGTGGCAAATTTAAAACTCAAAGGCAAAACAAGAGGTGTACAGATACAAGCTCAAGTGCTCACCTGACTGTGGTCTGCTTTGACTCTAAGTGTTATAACTGAGGACTTTCAAACTGGCATATTTCAAAAATAATTCATTTCATTAATTAATACCAATATAATTCTATTCGTGGAAGGAAAGATAGAAGGCAGAGAGAGACAGAAGGAGGGAAGAAGGAAGGGAAGGAGGGAGGGAAGGGAGTAAAGAGAAATATAGAAGGGCAAAAAGGGCATATATAGCAGTAAGTCTCTCCTTGACTGAGCCACTCTTTTCACATGCACTAAGGAAACTTGTAAGCATCACCCCAGTCTAGCAGGAATGCTCATCTATGCTTCCTTTCCTTCTAAGAAACCAAATCTTCTCATTTATCACTCCTCTTTCTTCCCTTTTCCATGATCACCCTGAAACACTTGAACAGCCAGGCAGAGGTGTATTTCTCTTTTCCTGACTACATACCTTTACGATTAAGATGCTCCAGCACATCACATTGACCATATTCATCAGCAACATCTAATGATGTTACTCAATACTCATCCTAAATGTTCACATTTCCACCATTCTTCAGAAGATCAACAATGTCTTTGCATATCTGTTTGGCATCTTCATGCATTGCTGACCAACATTTCATGCACAGCTGGTAGATAGTACAGTTGTATTTAATCAGAGTGGATACCATTTCAAAAGAGCCCCTTCTTGTAGCTAAAAATATAATTACATTTTCAAGTATTGTCTTGAAAGTTAAAGACATCTAATAAGTTTAGAAAAGCTTTCCTATGTGTTCCAATATAAAGAATTTAAAAATATTTCCAGTCCTAGAAATCTGGGAATCCAATATTTGGTAGATAAATAAATATTTCGGCTGCTTCGGAAATCAAGGTACATGAACGCAAGTTCAAAACTGTCAGTTTGGGGCATGGAAGGCAAAAGCAGCAATACTTTGATTCTGAGAAAACAGAAGCAAGTGTATCACAAGGAAAACAACAATTAAAATAACACAATATTAAAATTGTGTCTAAAGTTGTTGCAAACATTACAGTGTCCCTGGAAAATTCCACCTCTGACTTCCTTTTCCACCTGGTAGCTCTAATCCTAGTGTCTACACAGTGGTGGTTGTCAACCAAAGTACAGTTGACATCTGTCATACTTAAAGGCCACGTTCCATAGTTTTGAGGTTCCATGGTTTTAATGGATAACTACACCTGCCTATTATTTACATGTAAAAGACTGATGCTAAGTAAGAATCTAATTTTACTTTTAAACTACCCTCTGAAATAGAAGATACCTCCACGGACTGGTGGGGTAGCTGAGGGAGATAAGTATTATAGGGTTAGCAAATTTAACTTTTGTGAATGCCCCATTACACAAGAAGGTTTTTAAGAGTCAACAGTCTTCATAATTATCCACAATTGCTTTGAAGCACAGTATTACCAAATGTACCTGAAAGCCCAGATCATCCCACTAGATAAATACGTCTTCAGCATTTACCTTTCTACTACAGAGTCCTCCAATCAGTTTTAAAATTAAAAGGAGCAAATAAATCATAAGAATAATCTATTAAGTGGTGTTAAGCACCCGATCCTCTATTTCACTGAAACTAAGATTGAAATGTATGATGCACAACAATGTCTACATCCAACTGTCAGTGCTAAGTGACAGAAAAACATAAAAAATAAAAAGTATCACAGAAACAATACGTAGCTGAGAGACCTCACTTTCAGGAGTTTGTATACAGAAATATTTAGGAAACTAAACTGTCATTATAATGGGAAAGACCTTTTTCGTCAGCACTAGTTAACTCTTCACAGGATTCATTAAGCAATGGCTGAAAAATAGCTGAAGTTTCACAGACCTACAATCATCGAAAAGAACTGAAGCAACAAAAAGCAGGGTATTGCAGAAGAACCCCTTACAAACGTCTCAGCACCTCAGAATGGTAATATGGTAATAGCATCTGATGAGAGTTAATAAAAATTCAGATAACTGAATATATTAATACTGATAATTGTATTATATATTGTATTTTCTCATATTAATTTCACAGATTGATTCTCTTTAGAAGCATGAAGATGCTTTGACATTTAACAGAAACTGGAAGTTAGTATAGCTAAATTATTCATGAATAGTAAAGCTCATTTAAGTCTACCAATAGCATAATATCTTCCAAAGGAATCATCTTTCTTTAGATTGTGGTATTACTTAGAAATGCAGTTGAAGCTTGTTTTCAGCACAAGAGGGGAGGGAAATGAGATCAGACATTTTTAAAACTACCTGCCTACTCCTGAACAAATCATCTGACAAAACTAAAGATCTCCACTGACCATCAGATCTGCAAAAAAAGTATACTCCAGTTAAAACAATGGCTTATTCTTGTACTGTTCTTGTACCTTAAGATGGTTAAATAGGACCACGTTGGTAAAGGTCTTATAGCATCTAAAGATACAGAGAAAGCACCTTAAACAAAAAATAGGTCCCATTTTCTCAGCAGTTCAGCAATCACCTAAAACAGAAGAAGCATGTTTAAGATCAGCCTGGTGATCACCTAAAGTGTGATGAGTGCTGAACTGAACACTGGGTACATTTCACCAGGTGCTGGGCATTTAGTTTCATCTAAAAAGATGACCAGCATCTAAACCATGCAAGCCAAGGGGAGTACTGGGATGAGTATGTAACAGAGAGGAAGCGCTGCCATTCACGTTGCTTAAACCCAGAGAGAGGAGGCAATTACCAATAAGAAGTGGAGTTTCTCCTCTGTAATTTGAGGTATTGGGATAAACACTGTTTTCCAGTAACATTCACACATTTTCCACAAAGCCAGCTTTTGCTGTCAAGCTTAATGCTGTTTCTCCATTGCATGTTTTGTATTCCAACATTGTTTCATAAGAGGTAATAAAGGGAAAAAAAATAAGACAAAATTAAAGCACAAGGCTGTTAACACAGATAAATCAGAAATCCTTAAACACTAAGTCTATGAAAAGCACCTGTAATTATGTTAACCTAGCAAGTATTGCCAAACACACTGAATATTACATAGTAATTTTTGTGTTTTCTGTTGGTTTCTGAACAAAACGTTAAAAATGGTCCAAGTTATTTGCTGGTGTAAATTGATGTAACTTTTCCAAAACCAGAAAATTTGCCTGAACATTTAAACAACATAAGCAAGATGCTCCTTGGAGGACTTGATCATACTTTTTTTAGTAAACAGTTCTAGCCTCTTGTTGTGTTTATTTTTACCTTACTTGCCATCTAAAATGACTGCAAGTATCTGTGGAATTGGCCAAGCTGTAGCCTTGTGCAGTGGAAACCACCCTCTATGATTAGTTTCCTCCAAAGCACATGTGAGGTTCACAGGTTCTTGAAGCTCAAACACTTGACCTTAAAAATTCCAACAGATAAACAAAATGTAGTAGAAAAAATAATATACTGAAAGCTCATATTTGCAAAAGGACTATTTTATTTCAGGGGTTTTACCTTGCTTCATGAACGTTACAATTTTCCTATTTTCCTCACGAGGTGGTACACTAAAATGGTCTCATTGTGTGTCATTAATTATCACTTTTAATGATCCTTAATATGTAAAAAAATACCCCTGAACAAACCACAAACACAGCTTTATCTTTATACTTCCAAGGCATGGCCTATCAAAAAACATGAAGGACTTTGCAGTCTCTGCACTGCTTCTGCAGTCATGCAGTTCAATGGACATTCACAGGTACTGGGTACAAAAGCTCGGGCGATGGTCAAGCCATGCCAGCTATTATTTTCAAGGTGTGAGAGTCATTGAAACACTCAGTGGATTAGTAACAGAGTACATCAAACCTTTTAACTATAGTCATCAACTTAAATTCAGTCTGCTCATATCACCAACTTTAACTATGGCTTATGTTCACTATGCTTTTCACTAGTGATATCACATCAACTGACCATCTTGCTAGCAAATTCTGACTCTAACTGGAAGGTCAGGAATGTTGCTCTCTACAAAACCTTCTAGGTTTTTGAAGTGTAAAATGTAGTCTTTATCTATGGTAAAAGACACTTAAGGAAAAAACCCTTAAGTTAATATATGTCTAGCTGTACCTACATAGCTTTTTCCAAGTGAGCTTTGGGTTTTGACAGTTTCTCTGTTTGATTCAATCTTAGTGGCTTAACACATTTGTCCTTTAATCAGACTGAGGACACCAGATGTTGAATATTTTTTTATTTTTTAATTTTAAACTACTGCTCCCACAGTTTGCGCAGTCATGTGCTGTATCTACCACACTGAACAATTCTCATTAGAGTGTTGCACAAATATTGAACAATTATACTAAGCAGTTGTTGCATGTTTTTCACAGAACAATCATCATAGTGCATTCTAGTCATTCTACGAAGAGAGAAGGAACATTGGAAAAGTTATTTGGAGGACATTTTCTGAAAATTATTCTCAAGGGAAAGTACTAATCAGCTTTCTTTTTAGATTAATTTCTACATTGTTCTCATAAGCAGTAAGTCAATCAAAGTACCATAGCCAGTATTTTAATCCCATTCACAAATACTTTATTACTTAGTATATTATAATAAAGCTTGCAAACCAAAATTAAATTAGTAAGGGCTTACAGTCAGATTGACTCAGAAACTCTTGGATTCCGATTCCCACATAATACGGTTTCCCACCTCTTTCAATATGTACTGGAACCATGGTCTGATTTTTAACTGCAAGGAAGGAAATCTGAAGGAAAGTAGAAAAAAAAGTGCACTTCAATCCCATTTTCTCTAAAGGAAAAAATATACAACTTTGGTCTTGAATGTCATCTCTGAACACAAAAAAAAAAGGAGTCCATGACTAAAGGGATGTTCACAGAAACATTTTCATTTGGGACTTAGAAGAACAGAGATTTATATTATTCATAAGAGACAATGCTTTTCTGAAAGGTTCTCTTTTCCTTCCTATTGTGTCTCTAATCAAGGCTGCATCATAACAGTCCAAAAGATTTAACAGGTAAGTTAGACTGATGAACTGGCCATCACAATGTGGACATACATACCGTTCTCCCTCATCTCTCGTGGGCTATGTGCTCTATCGACAGGCAGGAGAATTCTGAGTCAAGGGTTTTTTTATGTATTTATCCTCTCATTTTCATAAGTACTTTTCTAATTGTGATGATACTTGAAAGCTTCCATCATTTAATCCACAAATACACACTGTTCTGAAGACTCACAAACCCTTTAGACAGCAAAGATAAAATCTCTCTTGGACTAGCAGTTTTAGAAGTATATCTCAATAAACATACCTACAACCTCAGCCTCCCATCAACTAAAAGGAAAGTACATTTTAGAATTCATTAACATTTCATTGGCAGCTAAGAGGTGCTCCTAATGAAAACAAACAGTTAATTTATTAAAAAGATAACAGTTATTATTACTAAGATAATTTATTAAGGAAAAAGTTGTAATATTATATTTACCCTAGAGCCTGAAGCAAAAAGGTTCCTGAAGACTTATACAGGCCTTACATCAGAGCCTCACATTGCAAACTCTCTGAAAATAAGTCTCTTTTAGTATATTACAGTATCCCTATAATACTGTTCACATATGGTTTAGTCCTGTGAGATGATGAATACCCTCCAACATCTGTCCAAGAACAGTTAAGAGCACTGAGCATTATAGTTGCCTAGTGATAAAATCCATTTATTTTCAGAAAAAATGTATTGCCTTTCTATCATCCCTTTCTCTCCAAAAGATAAGAGGAATAAATGAGTTTAGAGGCCATCACAGAAACTTTTCTCTGGTCATATAATTTCCATACCCATGTGGCAGCTATCTCCTGCTTTGCTATACCCCCCTGACTGATTATGTCACAGGCAACACAAAGATCTTCTTGAACGCAGATTTAACCAGTAAGGTCTCAGACGAGCAGTGTTTCGGAATAGTTGTGTGTACTGTTTTCAAATTATCTTATCCCACAAACATATTATAAAATGAGAAAGTCAGTAAGGTAGCAAGTGACTGTGACAGGGTAGAGTGAAAGTCAAACAGCGCAGCACAGCACAAGTGCTGGACACATTGTCAGGGGTCTATACGCGCTTCGAGAGCCTGATTTGCTATATCACTGCTGATAATACACTGTGCTGAGGTGACACGGTCTGACTGAAGTGTGGATGTTCTACATGGATCACAGGGGAACATAACAGCATGGCTGGTACACTGAGCAGCAGCAGAGACATCCCTGCTATGCTACATGGCAATGAAAAGGCCAAGTAGCAGCAAAATTTTCTTCCATTGTCTGTTTATCAATTGCTAGACCCATACACTAGATCACTGGAAACAACTGCAAATGCCTACTCTAAAGGAGTTTTACTTTTTGTATTACCAAGAATATTTTCCTTAAACAACATTTTGAGTAGCCTGACATTTTTCTCATTTTTTTTACATTCATGACTGAAAAACTAGATATTACTTCTTGATGTTGCTCTCTAAATTACTGTTTTTTCATTGGAAAAAATATTAACTACTTGCTAATCATGGAAGTTGCATCCTTCCTTGGAAAGAAGTGTATCAAGTGTTCATTGCTTTTAAACACGTGAAGTTTTGTGAGAGTTAATGTTATTCTAATTTCTTATCCTTAAAATAAACTAGACAACCTTAGCTTCACTCTATAAATAGAAGGCCTTTAGGCATGCAAAGAGGTTACTCATAGCAATAAAATAATTAATAGCAATCTAAATTTGGACTCAGTGAATTAAATATTACAGTTATAAACTATTTCTCTGTTAGTCTAATTGGCGAGCATACCATATTCTCACCTTTTCAAACCATTATCTTCCCGTTACTCTGGGGCTTACATTTTGAACAGCCAGGAATGGTGCCCTGCAAGCTGAGGTGTCCTGTGATACTTCTAAAATTAAATACACAGTTGCTAGATAAATTAAGGTCTGACCTTGTACAACTGTAACATAAGCTGACTCGACCCACAGGAAAGTATTACACATGACTTCTCTAAAATCTCATCAAATGTAACACGAGGTCTGGGGGGGTATAAGAAGATTATCTGTGTTCCCATTGGTTAAACAACTCCCATTAAGAAAATAAATTATTTGCCAATTATTCTCAAGGGCTACGTTAACGAAATCTGGCAGCATATTTACATAAATGACAACAAATCTGAGACAGTTTAGCCTTTAACTAGTTGCAGATTCCACCATAACGCATCACCAAGCTTTTGTCCAGATACCAAATCATTTGGTAATTTGTAAGGCTTCACTGCGAGATAAACTCATTGGTAAGACAAACAAGGGATAAGGAGTCATAGCAATAGCAAGGCCTTCTTAGAGTGCCTACATACTGTATATTAACACACTCTGTTAATACTCTTAACAGAGTCCCCGGCCTTAAACAGATAACAAATAAACCGTGAAATGCCATGTGGGTGGTTTGGGGGTTTTTTTGGTTTGTTTTCAAAACCATGTACTTATTGAATGTACACTGATAATACTTCATAGTTCTTGGTTTCGTTATATTTTAAAATAAATTATGTATTGAAACAGGGTTTGACAATTCCAGGAACTTCCTACAGTACCACTTCAGGATTGATTTCATGAACATTTTCATCAACAATGCCTATTCTCTTTTATACTCTTTATATTGGGATGTGGCAAGGATACCCAATGCTTGGTCTGTTTAAACAGACAATCAGAACTATTGTTTGAACCATAGTAACTGAGCTAAAATATTGCCTGACACAGAACAATTTGTGCTGTGGTTGACTAGTGTAATCAGAAGAGAGATCATCTGGTTGGACCATCAGAGAAAGGGGGAAAATGCAGGAATTATCTAATAAAAAAAATGCAGAAACTTTCAAAGACCATCATTTTGATAAGAGTCTCTGTGCCTTGGAAAGAAACCCCAGGTCTTTCTGATATAATCCCAAAGAACACACAGAAGTGGGGAAGCAAAAACCCTGAATTTTGATATAAACTGTATCAATCACTTTGCTTTAGTTACAGATTGCAGGTAGTGCATGTTTTATTAAAGGACAGGGTTTCATGGACAACTCAATGTTATTCTGAAACTCAGTGTGAGCAGTTTGCTTATCAGTTATGGAAAAGAGGAATTTAACAGCAGGGTAAAGGAATTATAAAGAAAAATTTGTCCAGAATATGACAGAACGACAGCATCACAGACTGTGCTGAACTGGAAGGGACTCACAAGGATCATCGAGTCCAACTCCAGGTCCTGCACGGGATCATCCCCAAGAGTCACACCAGGTGCCTGAGAGTGTCGTCCAAACATTTCTTGAACTCTGTCATGGTTGGTGCTGTGACCACTTCCCTGGGGAGCCTGTTCCAGTGCCCAGAACCTTCCAGTGTTCCAGAACCTCTTTCTAATGTCCAACCTAAACTTCCCCTGACACAACTTCAGGCCGTTGCTTCGGGTCCTGTCACTGGTCACCACAGAGAAGAGAGTAGTGTCTGCCCCTCCTTCCCTCACAAGGAAGTTGTAACTCCAATGAGGTCTCCCCTGTCTCCTCTTCTCCAGACTGAACGGACCAATTGACTGTAGCCGCTCCTCATATGGCTTCCCCTCGAGGCCTTTCCTTCACCATCTTTGTTACCCTCCTTTGGACACTCTCTAATACCTTAATATCTTTCTTACATTGCCGTGCCCAAAACTGCACATAATACTCAAGATGAGGCCTCACCAGTGCAGAGCAGAGCAGGACAATCCCCTCCCTCGACCAGCTGGTGATGCTTTGCCTGATGCTCCCCAGGACATGGTTGGCCCTCCTGGCTGCCAGGGCACTGCTGACTCATATTCAACTTGCCATTTACCAGGATCCCTGGGTCCCTTTCCCAGCACTGCTTTCCAGCATCTCATTCCCAAGTCTGTATGTACATCCAAGGTTGCTCCATCCCAGGTGTAAATCCAGCACTTTCCCTTGTTGAATTTCATACGGTTGGTGGTTGCCCAGTCCTCTAATTTGTCGAGGTCTCTCTGCAGGGCCTCCCTGCCTTTGAGGGAGTCAACAGATCCTTCCAATTTAGCATCATCGGCAAACTTACTTAGTATCCCTTCAAATCCTCATCCAAGTCATTCATGAAGATGTTGAAGAGCACAGGGCCTAAGATGGAGCCCTGCAGAACCCCACTAGTGACACGTCACCAGCCTGATGTTTCCCCATTTACTCTAACACTTAACACTCAAGATCTGAATCAATAAAATACAAATACACATGTCTACACAAAGCCTTTGTAAGATTCCAATACTAACGCTTATGCCACAGGCGTTATGCCAAGTATGGTAACCTACCTGCTAGCCAAGAAACCTGTTGCTGCGTGGAGTCATCTTCTTTCTCCCCCTCACCTCTCCAATCTTGGTTCTTTCCAGCACTTCCCAGAACTCAGAAATAGTGTTTAGCTATGCAGGCAGCAAAATCAGCCAGTTCAGGACAGGAATTATAAAAATAACTCAAGAGCGAGGCAGAAATACTCTGTTAATATAAACTAAAAAAAGTAAATAAACCAAAGGTTGCAGAACTGCCAAAAGAATTTTCTTAAAACTGTATTTGCAAGAAACTGGAAGCAGTGTTTAGACTGCTAAATAAAAGCGGACTTTAGGACAAAATATATTTTAATGAAGTGATTATCTTTAATTTAAAGACAACTGTCAGTAACAATAGATTAATAATTAAGCTTTGTTTTTACAGAGGTTACACCATTTTGAAAATTATATTGGCCATCTCCACTGGTCAGAAGGAGGTTCTTCAACTAGAGGCTCCCACGGTTTCCACTGCATCATTTTTCTTGCCAGGGAAAGCTCATTTTCAGCCTGTTAATAAACACCATAAACAAATTCTTAAATTCTATACAATTGACAAAGTATTAAATTAGCTCCATTTCAGTTCATTGTCTCAGTGATGTCATTATCTATCATGATCATAGACTACCACAAATTTCACCTATAAATATCAAAAGAAACTGTATGTTTTGGGGGTTTGTTTTTAAAAAAAAATTGAATCCCCCCCCAATACCCAAACAGACAGTCTGTTCACCTAGACATTCCCAATGACAACTTCATGATATTTTCCAGTCTATTTAAATTATGCCCCAATATTATTCAATCCTCTTCTGCCCTTTCCACTGATTTAGACTCTGTAAGAAGCAATGTAGGTATACATGTATATCTGTAAGCATAATACAAGAAACAACTGTTAACTGTGTTAGGCTTTAGCACAGTCATCCCAATGACAATTTGTTTTCAATTTCTTTTTCTGTTTGATTGTTTTGCAGCAAAGGAAGATATGCAAAACTGCCAATTTCCTAAACAGAAGTTCAGCCAAAGAAACACTGAAAACCACTTCTCCCTTTGTACTTCATCTTAAGATTCCCTGTTTTACCTGTACAATGACTTCTTCTATGCGACCACTGTTCAGTTTGTCCTGTAGTTTTTGCACATCACTCTCCTGTGTATTCAAATACATATAAACATACATATAAACAAATGTTTTACTCAAGCAGAAAGCCTATATGAAGCATGAAAACAGTAGTTTAACCAGTCTTCCAGTCTTCCTCAGAGCTACCATCAAATTAGCTGGCTTCTATCATTTTACATTATCAAAGAAATCTCACATCCATTTGTTACTGAAAAACAAACATCAAACTCTTGATGGTAAATACAAAGAACCAATACTATTTAGTGACACCCAAAGAAGTATTAGCAGGTAAAGGCTTTAGTATACACCTTGAAAAAAAATCCTGTTCTTAGAGTTTTATAGAATTACATGCAAACTTTCAACTACCACCTTAAATACACCAGTATTGCATAGTTTAATGTATCAAAAAGTGTTTTAAAATATTGAAGGCTAGGATTGTACTAAGATACTACACTGGTAAGAGCATATGAATTTTTCAGTGCAAGTATGTAAAAATTACCACTTTTCTACTAATCTTAAAAAATCCTACATTTTCTTCTAATTTTCACAGAACACTAGTAGAAAGTTAACAATTGCTTTTAATATGTCATAAAAATATCACAAAAATAAACCTTGATACTTCAGTTATTTCTAAACTAATACCTGAAAGTTACGTGTGCTTCTGAAAAACAGCCAGGCCTTTTGACAATCGTTCTTCTCATCCTACAAATTCTTTCATGTGTAACATTAATGAAACAGAACTGTACTTACCTTTTTCACCAAATCAAATCGCTCATTTATAATCTGCTCAGTGTATTTCCTATATGCTGCATCTTTGGGAATGTTTTGCAGGACACTAAGTATTTTTGAGTACAGAATTCGCAGGCGCTGAAATGATCACAAAACATGGTTAAAATACACAACTACAATTATTTAACTTCTTGTCTTACTTAACCTATTAACTTAATATCTATACAAAAATACAGAAGATTATGGTATTCAATCCAGAAGTGTAGGATTAACTAATAACTAAGTCTGAGCCACTGAACTCTGCCTTGGGTAAAACTGGGATTTATCAGGACTGAAAAGTTACCACGGTCACATTCCTCAAAGAAAAAAAAGGAAAAAAAGGAAAAAACAAAGGAAGTTGCAATCTGAAGTACATTTGATGCAAAATGGAAACAATAAAAGCTGTGTTTCTAATACTAAATACTCTGAAAGTTCTGAGTTACAAATAGATTTAAATTAAACCAGAAACTTTTATTGCTGGATTTAAATGCAGGGATAAAGGACACACTGCAGTGAAGAAACTGCAGGTTTTGGACTGGATAACTATATCTAATTGATGAGGAATAGATTTCCTACAGAACAGTAAGAAATAGAAGCAGAATACGAAAAAAAATACAAAGAAAAAAAACCAGGAAACAAAAAGGAGACTCGCAACAAATCTATACTTCAACTAAAGCATTGTCCAGTTCTTTACTCTTGGTTTTCAAGTCGCTGAAAACACTAAAATGTAATAAGTTCACCCAAAAGGTGTCTGACAAGGCTGTAGACTAAAGTAGAATCATTTCTGTAGAACAGAAGTGATTTTTTCAATGGTTCTTTTTAACAGTATTCTTACGTATTGGTGCCAAGAGCATTTCTGAAATAAAATTTTTGTATAATAAGAAATTTCAAAGTGGAGAACTGAAACAATTACTGAAGTTCTTTCAAAGCTCATGCCTCCTGAATAAGCATGATGTGGCAAACATATTTCCATCATTGAGCCTGAGAAAATAAAAATCAAGTATCAAATTGCTACAAAAACCACGTAATGCAGTTCCCAAGAACCACTGAAGTATTCCAATCTCAACAGTGCTTGCCATCACAGGGCCTTGATGTGGCTTTGCACCCTCTATCATGTAAGACTTATGAAGAACTGAATTTAAAGAGCTGTTCTGGCATTGCAGATGAAAGAAATCAAATACTGATTGATAAAAGTAGTTACATAAAGGAGGTTTCTGAAATCAGCACATGCCACTAAAAGTAGATGTGTAAAATAACTTATAATAATATGCATTAAATTTTTAAGAATTAATCTTCTTCCTTTATCGCTGTGGAAAATTTTTACTGTTTCATTAAGTTGGCGCCAGTTTAAGGTATAAAGCATACCTACAAAATACATTACAAAAACCTTAGATCTCACTGACAGCTTCCATTAGCGACAGAACAAGATGCGTGACATACCTCATGAGGGTTTTCAACTACAGCCAATCCTACAAGTCCAGTGGTCTGCACAGAGAGCACAAACATACTTAGCATACCTAAGCATCCATTTCCACGCTGATCGTTTTGTTTTGACTCCACATACACCTGACTGGGGCCATTCCGAGGCACCAGCCGGGCGTCCCGCGACCCCAGGGTCGGGGAGGGCGAGTGCCGAGCGGGACTAGCTCGCCTCACCAAGCGGCTGCCGGGGCA